ATAGATAGATAGATAGATAGATAGATAGATCGCTTATTTTTGTAATTTATTTATTTTTTTTTTTTTTTTTTTTGCGAATGTGAATTTTTGTAAATATGTTTAAATTTAATTAATTAAAATTTTTTTTTTTTTTGTGAATTAATTTTTGTAAACATTTTTTAATTTGTTTATGTATTTTTTCCTTCCAACTGGAGGCATGGCGATTTCTTACTATGAGCTGACTGCACTCAATTAAAATGATGTGCTCACACTTTCATATGTTTTGTAAGCCTGAAGATTTGACCTAATTGACTGAAATTGCTCATTAAAATTTCTGTGACCATGCAAACATGTCTTTTCTAGTTTATAATGTAATTTAACTAGAGAAATTGCTGATTTATTGGGCGTGTGAGGAACTACATATTTTTTTAGCGTTATGTGCGTTACAATAAAAACAATTTCAGAGTCCGAGGATGGACAGAACTGTAACATAATTACAGTCTAATAACTACAGTAATTCCGAAGAGACGTGAACGCAGCATTACAACAGCTGAGTTTTACTTTTGTTCTTAATGGAGAAACAATTAGGCAAAAAAAAAAAAAAAGACGAGAAAACCTTTCGGACGAAACCTTTTTAAAGGTCGAGAAAAGGAATATTTTGAGCAGTGTCGCAGCAAGATTTTAACCAGTGCAGACAGAGTCACTTCCCTGGCATTTAAAGAAAACAACCCGAAAAAAGAAGAAAAAAACAACAACAAATATAATATACCATAGCAACATTTTACACCAAAAATATATAAAAGTCACACGTCACATAAAAGGACTCAAACGCAGGCGATGCGGCCGCGTCCCAGAGATCCCCGCGCTCGCGTCCCGTCCACTTAAACATGGAGCGCACAAACGCTCAGAGGGGATTCTGGGTAAGCGGCGCTCATCGCACGCATTCGTCTGAAATCAGAAGAGCTTCACATCCACGTCGTAAACAACACCGCCACCTCACCAGTACAAATCACACCACACGCGCTACTCCACAGTTTGACGCGCCTAGCCACTAGAAAAAGCTATTGACTTCAATAGTTAAGCCACTTTTGGTACAATTGCAAAAAAGAGAGCTATCAAACAACTTTATATTTCTTTTTTAAATGTTTTATAAATAATGCAAGAGATACTCTGTCATTTTTTTTATATAAAATTCAAGACTCCACCATATAGACAAAGATTCTTAGAATACGTTACGCAATGTCACAGCAACAAAGTTATGGTAAAGCTTGTGAGATTCACCAGTTTATGTCACGCAACAGTCCGTCCTTCAAAAACAGAAACTTGGATTTTTTTTCTTGTTTTTAGTCCAAAAGCTGGCACAGAACACACACACACACACACACACACACACACAAAAAGTATACATCTTTCTGGATTTACAGACAACGACAGACATGATAACCTTCAGCGTGAAGGTCGCACAGCATGAAATAAACAACACAAAACCTCATATAACATAAACCTGTTATTGCCTTGCCAATAAAAACGATCTCCTGTCCTGAAACGGACGACTGGAGCGCATAAACTGGTGTCAGATTCTGATAGCTACCATATGAACAACATCAGCTGATTTGACTCCGCCTCCTCTCCTCCTGCTCGTCAGCGATTGGTCAGTGCATAAATGAGGCTCAGGTAAAGGGAGCTTCTCATTGGCTGATACTCTCTTACCGCGGAAAGCTTTTCCTTCAGACGGTGGAAGAGTTTTAAAGTGTTTTGTGCCTGCAGTCCGTAAAACCAAAGGACGGAAAAATGGCGCAACAGCACATACGAAGTGAAAATCAACACAAACGCTGTATAAAAAGTACAATATTACAATGACAAAGAAAACACTTGGACCCCATGTGAAACGCACGATACAAAGTCGCCGAAGTTTGTACAAAAATTACAAATCTCACAGCAATACAACACACATCCACCAGGAAAATTGTCTGCATGGTTTTAGATTCGAGTTTAGCAATTTGGAGATCGTTTTGGAAGCCCAAGTGAATTGACCATCCTAGATGTGCTTTCCTTCGTTTGTAACCCAGAAAAAGCCCACATTAGAGAGTACTGAAGGGGTTTTCCATCAGGAGCGTCCCGCACCTAAACCCTCATGCACTGACCAACCCTTGCTCTCCGTGCGCTACTAAGACCTCGCATTGGTTTTCGATTTAACTATCGTGATAACACTGGTGGCTCCCACCTTCCCGGGAACGAGGGGCCCGATGACGGAGGCCAAGGGCCCTCGGGGGGATACGGGGACGGCTGCGTTACAAACCGGGGCCACGGGCCCTCGGGCCACAGTTCTGGCGAAGCTCTGCAGAGCCTCGTATTTGGAGCGCAGCGTGTCCAGCTCCACTTTCATGCTGGCGTTCTCTGAAGCCAGCTTCTCCACTTCCTGCTGTAGCTCCGCCTTCTGCCTCTCAAGCTCCTCCTTCTGCGTGACGCGCTTGACGCGGCAGCTGGCGGCATAGCCCCGGTTCTTCAGTGTCCGCCGGCGCTGCTTCAGCTGAAGGATCTCTTCTTTGGTCAGGCCGCGCAGGTGCTGGTTGAGCTCGCGGACCGACATGGACACCAGCTCATCGTCCGTCAGGCTCGTCCCGTTCTCGCCGGGCTCCCTCTTCACCTGAGAGTCCAGGAAAGAGATACGGACGGGGAATGTTAATTAACATTTAGAAGACATTTACAAGAACACAAAAACAATGTTTTGAAGTGGTTTTGGCTCCCATTGACTTCCATTATATGGACAAAAAATACAATGGAAGTCAATGAGAACCAAAACTCTTTGGTTCCCAACATTCTTCAAAATATCTTCTGTTGTGTTCTTCTAAATATTTTAAAGAATGTTGGGAACCAAAGAGTTTTGGTTCCCATTGGCTTCCATTATATGGACAAAAAGTACAATGGAAGTCAATGGGAACCATCAACTGTTTGGTTACCAACATTCTTTAAAATATCAGGTTTGGGATGACACAACAGTGACTAAATGATGATCATTAATAACATGAAAGAAGTCCACCCAAAAATTTTAATTCTGTCATTATTTACTCACCCTCATGTCATCAAACAGTTTTGGTTCCCATTGACTTCCATTATATGGACAAAAAATACAATGGAAGTCAATGGGAACCAAAATGGTTTGGTTACCAACATTGTTTAAAATAACATTAAACAGGTTTGGAACGACATGATGGTGAGTAAATGAAAGTAGTCCGCCCAAAAATAAAAATTCTCTCATTATTTACTCACCCTTGTGTCATCATCTCACCAAAAAGTTTTGGTTCCCATTGACTTCCTTTATATTTTTTGTCCATATAATGGAAGCCAATGGGAACCAAAACTGTTCGGTTACCAACATTTTTCAAAATATCTTCTTTTGTGTTTTTCTAAATGTCTTCTAAATATTTTGAAGAATATTGGTAACTGAACAGTTTGGTTTTTTTTTTTTACTTCCATTATATGGAATGGAAGTCAATGGGAATCAAAACTGTTTGATTGACTATTTGATGAACATGTGTCCATTGGTTACCATTGACTTCCATTGTATTCTTTGTCCATATATTGAAATTCAATGGGAACCTAATGTGTTTGGTTACCAACATTCTTCAGAATATAATTGTTTGGTGTTCTGCATAAGAAATAAAGCCATTTCTGGTTGGACTACCCTTTTAAAGACAGACTGCGCTCACCTTCAAGGCCTTGTTTCCTTTGCTAGTGGTCGTCATGCCACGAGGAACCGCTGCCAAGCCACGCAGATCTACAAAACAAACACGTATTAGACTGTGGGACACCGGGAATCTAGAACATGTGACGTCCGGTCAGGGCAAAACTCGATTTATCATGTAATAGAGCTTCATATGAGCTCAAGGATGAGAAACAGCAAGTGAAAGCAAAAGAGTTTTGATATCTCCTGCCACGTGTAAAAGGAATCAGCCACCTTACTCTGAAAAAAAAAAAAAAAAAAAACTCTGTGGTTGTGGCGGTTGGGAGCTTAGTGCTCTACAGCACCTTCTCTGCATCTGAGCCTCGCTGCAGGCTGATAGGCTGCTGAAGAGCCAATAAGAGGAAGGAGAAGCGCTGATAAGGAAGTGTGGCTTGGGCCGCGGTCCAGGGGATTACCAGCCCGATGAAGGGCAAGCAGACAGCGATCCGTCGCTCGGAGAGGAAAACGGGATTCCCTCCAAATACCTGAACCTCAATGAACAACAATCACCAACTGAATCAAACCAATCAAATAATGCTGTCGCCTCACACAAACGCCATTAGAGTTCAGCAAATGTCTCATAAAAACAGATTACAGTTATTTAGGGTTATATAGCTTTTAAAAAAAATCTTAATTTCACTATATATTTATGTATAAATTACTTAACAGGGTTTGCCATTGTAGCCAATTAGATTCAAAATGTTAAATGCAATTTACAATTGATTTAATGATATTAAATATATCTCTCAATATTTATGTATACATGACTTTGTAGCTAATTAGATTCAATGTTTAATGCAAAGTAACAATCTATTTTAAAAGAATCTAGACATGTTTTCCATATTTAATCATTTTAATTTGTATGCACCAATGACAATATAAGCAGCAATATATACCTATTTATTTTTTCACCAAAAGACCCTAGCAACTACCAAGAACCTCCTGCAACTGCATAGCAACCTCCTAGCAACCATCTACAAGTTTTTATGATTAAAATTTAATTAAAACAGAATCCAGTAAAAATTTAAATAGGAAAAAATGGAAGTTGGTAAAGATAAGTAAAAAAAAAAAACCGAATGAATGAATGAATTAATAATGTCATATGGCCCAAAGATTGAATAAATTGTTAAAGTTTTTTTAATTCAATTTAGTTGTTATACATTTTTATGAGCAAAATAAAAAAAAAATAATAATAATTTTATTGGCAAATATTTGGTTTATATGACATTTTTACATTAACGTATTCATTTGGAAAACGTTTTTATCCAAAGCGACTTACAGCTGAGGAATACAACAAGCGATGTATCATAAGATGGCAATAAACATGAGAAGTGCCCGTTATACAAGGATTCAGTCATCATTCAAAATAGTAAAAAGCGGATAATAAAAGAACAGAGAAAGAATTATTATTGGAGACAGTTAGATGCTCACGGAAGAGATGAGTTTTCAGTTGTTTCTTGAAGATTGTGAGGGATTCGGCTGTCCGGATGGAGTTAGGTAGGTCATTCCACCAACAGCATACAGTGAAAGAAAACGTCCTTGAGAGTGAATTTGTGCCTCTCTGCGATGGGACCACGAGCCACCGCTCGTTTACTGACCACAGGCTTCTGGAGGGGATGTAGACGAGTAGGAGAGAGTGGAGGTAGGAGGGTGTGAGCCTGTGGCTGTTCTGTAGGCAAGCACCAATGTCTTGAACTTGATAGGAGCTGCGACTGGAAGCCAATGCAGAGATATGAGAAGTGGTGTGACATGGGCTCTCTTGGGCTCATTGAAAATAAGACATGCTGCTGCATTCTGAATCATTTGCAGAGGTTTGATTGCACATGTTGGAAGTCCAGCCAGAAGAGCATTGCAATCGTCCATCCTAGAAATGACAAGGGCCTGGACGAGAAGCTGTGTTGCATGCTCTGTTAGAAAGGGTCTGATTTTTCTGATGTTGTGTAGTGCGAACCTACATGATCGTGCTGTTTTTACAAAGTGATCTTTAAAGGTCAGCTGATCATCAAGGATCACCCCAAGATTCCTGGGCAAACACGATGGGATTATCGTTGATGAACCTAGCTGGATGGTAAATTGGTGCTGTACTGATGGGGGGGCTGGGAAGATGAGAAACTCAGTCTTTGGTGATGCTCTTTCATCCATGCTGAGATGTCCGTCAGGCAGTCTGAGATCCAAGCAGGTACCGTCAAATAATCTGGTTGAAATGAGAGATAGAGCTGCGTGTCATCAGCATAGCAATTGCAGGAGAAACCATGTGCCTGAATGATGGGGTCCCAGTGATGAAGTGTATATCGAGAAGAGGAGGGGTCCAAGAACTGATCCCTGAGGAACCCCAGTGACCAGCTGATGTGATTTGGATACTTCTTCTCCCCAAGCCACCCTGAAGGACCTACCTATGAGGTAAGACTCAAACCAGTGGAGTGCAGTTCCGGTGATGTCCAGAAATGAGAGGGTGGACAGAAGGATTTGATGATTAACCGAGTCGAATGAAGCAGATAGATCTAGCAAAATGAGAACGGAAGATTTGGACTCAGCTCTTGCACTCCTTAGCACTTCAGTGATTGAGTGTTTCAGCTGAATGGCCACTTTTAAAATCCAGATTGGTTATTGTCCAGCTGATTGTTCTGTGAGAGGAAGGTTGAAAACGACGCGTTCAAGTGATTTTACTATAAAAGGGAGGAGAGACACGGGCCTGTAGCTCTCAACAAGTGAGGTGTCTAATATAGGTTTTTTAAGCAGTGGGGTTACCTGAGTCTGCTTGAATGCGGTGGGGAAAATGCCTGTGAGAAGAGATGTGTTGATGATGTGTGTGAAGAAGGCAGAAGTGCAGGGGAAATAGCTTGTAGGAGATGTGAGGAGATTGGGTCTAGAGGTAGGGCTGGGCGATATAGCTAAATAAATAATGTTTCATATCGTTCGGTATCGATCATTATTGACATTTTTAATAACCTTTTTTAAAACAAAGAGCAATAGAAATTTTTTTTCAATTTAACCACTGTATTTTTAAATTAACCCAGTTTATTGAGACAAACAACAAATATTTTGTTTTAACAATCAAACACAAAATAAAAATTAAACAAATATCTAATTTCTAATGTTTTATATGCAGATTAAATAGGTTTTAAGGAAACTTTTGTCTTGTCTCCCGAGGCCACAGGAGGGCGCAATGAGCAAAATAATGCAGCGCATTTAAATTGTCAATGCAAGGAAGTAACTCTATAAAAAACATGCATTATGTCTAAATTAACTCATACAAATCAAATATAATTTTGTAAATTGCATAAACAATTATGAACAAAACAGCATCATGTAT